CGGGAGAAATCACACACTACTGACATAGATGGAATAAAAGGAAAAACTAAATATAGTTACCTTTAATGAATAGTTGATGTGTTAAAAGAAATCTGGTGTTGGGATGGTAAAGATCTTTGCCACCTGGTTCATTTCTGAGATGCTTCCTAAAAATTGCCTTTTAGATACTCCAGCTAGTTCCTTCTAGCTTCGTGGTTTAGATGTTTGCTCTTTCTGATAGTTGAGCAGTGATTAAAAAGCGAGACAGTAGGGAAGAAGACAGTGTTTTTGTTTGTGGCTCATGAAAGCACACATTAACACACACACACACAGACTGTAGACTCTAACATAGGCATCATCAGTTTTTCACTCACTCACTCACTCACTCATTACTGAATGCATCCCATATATTAAGCTCTGTCAGGTGAGGTAGGCTGAGAGCTCTTTGTCTCAGGGACATTGACACGCTTCATAGGTTATATAGCATGTCCTTCCAAAGCAGGTCTTCCTGCCCTTTCTCACCTTGCCGAGTTCAACGTATGTCATTCCTAAGTACTTTGGGGGATGTGATGGCCAAGTTAACCCACTCTCCGTGGGATGGCCCCGGCCTCTTCACTTCTGGTCTGTTGGTCTTTATACAGCAAAGCCATGCCCCTTATTTTTGGCCCAAGTGAAACCCCCTTTAGACAGGCAGTCCCACTGCCCAGGGCAGATGCGTTGCACTACCTTGTGATGTGTTTGGATGGCTGGGAAAATAACTGCACTTCGGGGTATGGGTTCTGTTCCTTCACACAGTCAGGGGAAGCATCTTCTGATGTGTACCTCCCTTGTGTCTTGAGTTGGCCATATCTTTGTAGACGTGCTTTGTCACTAATAGTTTAGTGGGCTTGGATAGCTGCCGGATGTGAGACCCTAAAGCCTCTGGCTTATATGCAGTCAGGTAAAGAGTGTTGGGACTACCATCTCCTTCTGAGTACTTGGCTAAAGTACTTACCTGATGAAGCTTTGGCCTCCGTAGCGCCACATTGCCAGCAAGATGGGTAATGCAACCGCTGGTGGGCTTTGTTCTTCTTTGCTGCTCCCTGATATTATCAAAGGTTCTGAGAAATAAAGGGGCTTCCCAGGTGGCACTAGTGGTAAAGAACCTGCCTACCAATGCAGGAAATGCAGGAGATGTGGGTTGATCCCTGAATCAGGAAGATCCCCTGGAGGAGGAAATGGCAACCTACTCCAGTATTCTTAGGGTTTCCCTGATAACTCAGTTGGTAAAGAATCCACCTGCAATGCAGGAGACCCCGGTTCAATTCCTGAGTCAGGAAGATCTGCTGGAGAAGAGACAGGCTACCCACTCCGGTATTCTTAGGCTTCCCTTGAGGCTCAGCTGGTAAGAATGTGCCTGCAATGTGTGAGACTTGGGTTCGATCCCTAGGTTGGGAAGATCCTCTGGAGAAGGGAAAGGCTACCCACTCCAGTATTCTGGCCTGGAGAATTCCATGGACTGTACAGTCCAGGGGGTCACAAAGAGTCAGACACGACGGAGCAACTTCTACTTTTTACTTCCCAGTATTCTTGCCTAGAGAATCCTATCATGGACAGAAGAGCGTGGTGGGCTACAGTTCATAGGATCACATAGAGTCAGACATGACTGAATCGACTTAGCATGCACACATGCTTAATGTATGACTGACTGAGAAATAAAACACTTACTTTCTAGCAAAAAAAAAGAAAATTGGGGTACTGGAAGTGGAGAATGTGATTCTAGTGGGTCTGGTATAAAGTGTATAAATTAATATCCTTTAGGATAACCTTATTCTTTTTTTTATACCTGGTTCATTTGTTTGTGAGCAGAAGCTGGCTGGAACTCTGGTTCAGTTCATATTTGTCTTAAGTGCTCAGGTTGATGCCACACTGGTGTGATTCTTGCAGTAGGCCATTCATTTCTTTGGCCAGTTCTTTACTAAAATTAAAATAGGCTTATTTAACCTGGCAAGTTACAGTCTGTGAGCATGAGTGGACAGTGTCACGATGTACAGGGCCTAACATCCAGCTCCACAGGGAGGTTTGTGGTTCTTATCACTGGCTGAAAAACAGAATAGCCTGGAAAACTTTTAGCAACAACAACAAAAGATACTGCTATTTTGATTCCACACCTTAGACTAAAGATGAATCTCTGGAGGCAGGGTCCAGAATATAGGGTCTTTAATTTTTGTTCTGTTTTTAAAGCAGCTGGGGTTGAGAGAGCTCTAGTCCAACAATAGCATTTTCTGCATGGAAAAATTGATTCTTGGGTGTTGTATCCTGTTTGAAGGCCACCAAGGTCACATTAGTGACATTGGGGGGAAAGTGAGCATTGGTAGGTAATTGGTCATGTAACTATAAGCTTTCCAGGGGTTGATTTCAAATTGGCTTTGTCCTGAGTTCAATATTTTCAGCAGAATTGACCCGTAGATTTTGCATTATCTGGCTTGGTTCCATTTTGAGCACCTTTGCTGATCCTGTGCTTGACTCTCAACCACCCCCATGAGGCTTCAACTTTTGTCATAATACCTTCAGTAAGAGAGAGAAGACTCTCTCTGACTGGCTGGTGTCCCCATTCCCAAACATCTATATCACTGAGCTAAACATACCAACCTCACAGGATTGGCATAAAGAATGACACCAGGGACTCTGAGCAAAGCACCTTTTTCAGCTCTGGGCATGTGGTACTTTTTAAATACCTGATAACGTAGTGGAAATTTGTTGCAGTGTCTCTGTTTTGGTAATCTGCATACCCTACTCCACCGGCTAGGTCACAAGTCATGGATGGGATAGCCAGTCCTGTTGCCTTGGCAGCTCCAAAGGTGGGCTTTGTTTGACTTACACTGCTGAATCACTGCAAACCATGCCCCTGACCCCATGGTATATATGGGAATGGGGGCACGGTTTTTAGTCATTTTCCTAGTACAAAGAGGAAGGATTATTTGGGAGTAACTATTTAGATGAGATCGGGTGCGTTCAGGGTGGTATGGCCATAGACTGGGAGTAACTATTCAGAGTGAATTAGCTCTAAGAAGTGTAGTAAACAGATACATAAAATGTCTCCCATATACACAGAAATAAGCTGAACAATTAGGAAACTTTTTAATGGGTATTTGGCTATGTGGGTGAACCTCAGTTTTCCTATCTGTAAAATAGAGCTAAAAATACCAACCTCTAGGGTCATTATGAAGATAACACAAGTTGCTATGAACAGATCATGAAGTCAAGCAACTAGTTTGCTTTAGTGGAGGAAAAAAATAGATGAAGAGATGGGAAATTTTGTTTTTGATCCCTGGAAGCTTAGAATGACCAACTTCCTGAGATTCTGAATGGCTCGCCTGCAAGAGCATAGGATGGATCAGATCATATGTACCTAAACCTTCATCATTCTTATAAAATGGTTTAGTAACTTAGGTTTTGACTCTGTCATTCAGGACCAAACAGTGGGCATACATGACACCCAGTTTACTTTACTGATGTTATGTTTGGATTTTATAAGATTCTCATTTCCCTCTAAAGGGCTTGTATATGTGGAGTAGCTCTTGTTCAAGCCTTATTCCTTTTAAAGCCAGTCTTGGCAATTGACATGGAAGCAAAAAGTGTAATGCTTACATATTTCCTGATTTTTCTTCATGACCATCACATTGTGAACAAAATTAATACCATCATGGTGAGATGATTATTATTATCACTACTCTGGCTAATTTGAATAGAGAATGTATTGTGCTTTCCTGGTGCCTTCAGAGTCTTAAACTGAATATATAGTTCCTGTAAGCATTTTCCTTGCTTTTCAAAGGCACACTTGATTTTGTTTGGGTGCATTTAAATATTAACACAGACAGCTGGGATGTATTGTTTGAAGTGTAGTTCCAGTTCATTTTGGATTCTGGGCACCTGTGATGCTTGTCTTCTGACACATCAGTGCAATCAGGTGTGGGCTCACCACAGAAGAAATTTGCATCCATGAAGTGGCTAGGAGGGGAGGGCTTTGAACACTGTAGCAGGCAGATGGAAGCTCTTGATAATGGGGTAGAAAATTGGATTCATTTTGAGTTTTCAAAGAAATGCATCATTAAACAGTGCTTCTTTTCTGAGCATTGCTGGCCTTGGAGGGTTTCAAGTTTCATATCTTCAGATATAATAGGTGACTCTCTGGGATCCAGAGTTTGTGGAGGACTGGTTCTTAACCACGGGGTGGCTTCCAGGCCTGAGACTGTGCTGTGTTTGGATGGTAGAGGCCCGAGCTTTGTGGCTTGCATGCTTATGTTGGATTCCTTGATCTGCTGCATACTCAGTGTCACTGAGCGTTCATTCCTCCATCTGTAAAAGAGGTGGAATGACTCCTTGCTCAGTGAATGTTCAATAAGGCTGGAAGCACTTTGCACCTAGGATATAGGCTTATACACACAGTTGGAACCAAAACTGTGAGTTCCAGGTCTACTAGTTGTTAAAGTTACTCAACTACTCTAAGCTTTAGTTTGCTTATCAATAGAATGGGCCCGTTACTGAAACACTGCCTGGTGTTGTGTTGCAAATTATGTAAGATAATTCATGTAAAGGGTTTAGTGCACCTTGGGTTCATGGTAGGGAGAAAAGTTTCGGTAGTTCTGTCAGACAGTGAAGAATCTGCCTACCAGTGTAGGAGACCAGGATTCGAACCCTGGGTCAAGAAGATCTTGGAGAAGGGAATGGCAACCCACTCCAGTATTCTTACCTGGACATGCCCTTGAACAGAGGAGCCTGCAGGCTACAATCTATGGGGTCGCGAAGAGTTGGACATGACTGAGCGACCTAACACATACACAAGCTATTGTTTGTATTAATGATAACCCTGGTGATCTGTCGAGGTTCTCCTGCCACTGCTCTTCTATAACGTCAGCAAGTTCTATTCCGCTTCCCCAGGGTCTGTGCTTCTCGGCGGTCCCAGGGCTGTGTGCATTTGCCACCCGTCCTGGTGCAGCGGGCTGACGGTTTTGACTCACTGCAGCTCCCCTGTCTTGCAGCGTTGACGGAGGGCTACGTGGGGACCCTGCACAACAGACAGGGCAGTTCGGCGCAGGCGCAGATCCGCAGGCGCAAGGCTTCCGGGGACCCGTACTGGGCCTACTCGGGTAAGTTGACTTGCTCCCATCGCGACCATACGGGTCAGTTCACGTCCCATTACACTCTCTCAAAGGCACACTTTTAATCAGTTTCACGCCTGATTTCTGTTTGTTCCAACCTTTTGTAGTTCCCTGAAAGTTAAATGTGATAAGTTCCTTAATTTATCTCTCCCACCTGTTTCTCCAACCTGCCTTTTCCCCTCAATTTGCATTTATTTCTGAACTTTACTTGTTAATGAGTTATTGTACCAAACTTGTAATTTTCTGAAAGACGTGGCCTTTTCTTGCCTCTTCCCAGAGGCTGTGATTTCAGAGAGCGGAAAATATAAGCCTTGTCTTGAGCTGCTAAATATATGCTAAATATTACAAAGCCTCACGTATCAAAATGACCTATTATGCTTTGATCTAAGAAATGCAACTTTATTTTCTAATAAGATCTTGCTAGTTTTATATATTTCAGCCCACTGTGATATTTCTGTAGCTCTTTTCAATTTTTATTTTCACTTTTTGCCTTGGAGTCAGTGAAGAGAGAGTACACATTGTTACAACTCTGAATACTAATTTGGAAATAATTTTCTTATAGTTTAAGGGGCAAGAGAAAAGATATCTACAAGAATATACAGGCCTTTCTGGTTTATGCATCTAACAACTGTCAAAAAGAGGATAGGTGGATTGTTATTTCTAAAAGAGATTTTGATGCTCGGAAATATATGGGAAATGTATTTTTAGCTGATTAAGGAGGAATTCTTGAGCAAAACAGACCACTTTGGAAATCACTGTAGCACTGAATAATTCAAATTTTTTTATGAAAGTGCTTGGAGGCACAGAGTATTAGTCTCAATAATAAATGTATGCATTTTCTATGTTGTTGCTCGTAGAACTCAAAGGTATTATTGTCATTATTATACCCTGGTCTTAAACCCTGAATTTCTACCTGCAAATCCTGTTACATTTATGTCAGTGTAAAATTTATAGGCCTGATCTTTAATTATACCTTATCTATTGGCTTTTTTCATCCTTTTGTCTATTGATAAATCTTCTGCCCCTCTAGGGAGAATAGCCTATCTGTTTTGTTTTGCAAGGAACAGATAGTGATTCTGAAGTCTTCCATCACACCCCATTCCTTGTGATTAGAAGTATCTAATTAGAACCGTTTTGTCACCATTTCTGATAAATGAAGGAAATTGGGAGATGAAAGCCGAAGTTACATATATATGGCTTCCTGGCAAGAAACCCAAAGAAAATTTATCATTTTGTTCTCTGTGGCTCTGATAGAAGTTAAGAAGAGGCATAAAGTGGCCTGCTGTTTACAGTTCATCAATTTTGAAAATAATGCTGTTGGGGGATTGGAAATTACATGACATCAGCATGTACAGTTGCAGATGGCAGTGACTTTTCCCATTATTTAGTTAAGACTGGGCATAATTAGTAGTATGGTCTTTGGGGTGGAGAAGTGGTTGATCTTCTTAACTCTGGACTTGATGAGTGCCATTTTGTATTTCTGGAATGCATTGTGTCTGGATTTGAAAACTTCTGTTGGTGGAAAAGCTAATAGTTTATCTTCAGTGGGTTGGCATGCACTTCATAAAGAATCTGGTAGTCTTGGGCTTTGCAGGGCATGTGGTTTCTGTTGCTGCTATTCAACTCTGTCGTCATAGTGGAGAGGCAGCCATAGGTAGATGGACAAACTAGCTGTGTCCTCATGGAAATTTATTTATGACAGTGAAATTTGAATTTATTATAATTTTCATGTGTCAGGAAATCTTATATTTTAGACTTTTCCCCCTCAACCTTTTAAAAATAGAGAAACCATTCTTACTTTGCAGGCTGTACTAAAATTGGTGGCTGGTTGGATAGGGTCTACAGGCTATAGTTTGTCAACCCTTGTTTTAGCTGTGTTTTTTTCTGGAGCCAAGATAAGGCAGTTATTTGAAGAATCCCTTAGAATTGTATAGACTGGCTTGGAAGAATCACCAAAGTAACTTGCTAGGCATAATGGGAAAAACAAAAGTAAAAGGAGAAGAAAAGCATAAGAGAGTTACCAGTTGAGGTTTATAGTCATCTTCTTGAACATTCCATGATATGAATTGTTATTTTCAGTGAAGTGATGGAGTATTAGTTTTCACATCAAGAACACTTAGGGTGTTCTAATAACGAAAGGTCATTATTTGTAGAGGGAAATGGTTTTAAATTGAGCAACAGTGAAGTAGTCCACTTCATGAGAGAGGGGCTTAATGGTCCAAATGTTAACCCCATGACTTAATTCACAAATCTGTACTAGTTCTTCCTAAGATAAAGCACTGGTATACTTTGGAGAGGGGGCAGTGTTGTGTGTGACAGTGTGAATTTTCAAGTCACGTATGTAGACTGTGGTTCAAATCTACCATTAATACCTCTTAATATCTTTATGAGGTTGGGAAGGCATTTAACTGTTTGGAGCCTCAGTCTTCCCATCTTTGAAAAAGGAATGATTAATAGCACTTCCCTCATAAAGCTGTTAATGGGAATGAAATGAGGTGTGTATGAAAAATTGAACAAATTCTGGGCATAAAGTGCCTAATGTTCCACTTTTTGCTGTTTTTCACACTATTAGTACTTTTGCTACTGGTGATACTGTTGTTATTGGAATTCTGTTTTAGGTACTATGATTGTTACTGGGAGATCCTTAGGTAATACTTGGAGCTCAGCAAGCTAAATTCTATCAGCCATACTTCGTAAGAATTGCCCATTTGAGATTTGGGAATGAGGGTTCAGCAAACAAACTGTCCTCAAGTTCAGGGCTTGGCAGACTACCAGCGTCCACCTGTATTTGTGTGTAAAGTTTTATTGGAACACAACCATATCCATTTTGTTGGCTATTGTTGATGGCTGCTTTCATGTTAAGACTGCAGAGTTGAGTAGTTATTACACAGAAATTTGACCAAGAAGCCTAGACTATTATCATATAGCCCTTTACGGAAAAGGTTTGCCAGCTCCTGATCACACTGGTACAGCCTGGGGTTTTGAGCAGCTGTTAGCCTGACTCAGAAACAAAACTGTGTGGAGATTTGGAACATGTCTCTCTTTTTCTTCTGGCCTTGTATTTCCCTTGAGCTGAAATGTCCCCAGCAAATGTTCTAGTTAGCATTCACAGTGATTCTTGTGTTCCTGCTTTTGAAAAGTTCTGGGAAGAATACAGATGAGGAAGTGATATGTTTTAGGAGGTGGAACAGGGAGAGGAGTTGGTGTTGGTGGTCCTGGGGCCCTTGGGTTGTGGTGTCCTTCCTCATCATTAGGTTGGCTTTGGGTACAGGATGGCGTTTGGTGAATGATGCTGGTCTGGTTATTGTAGCAGCCCACCCGGTCAGCCCACTGGTCACTTGAGGAGAGTTACATAAGTAGTTGAGCTGTGGAGAACTTGTTTTAAGGATACTGGCATGATCGTGCCATGTTAGGACTAGCTGAGTGATTTCAGTGTCACTGCATCACCTTGGATAATGTCTGAGTCCTATTTATATTTGAAAATGATCAACAACCTTACTTCATAGTCTTATCGTATGATGCCACTGTGAACACCAGCCGCTTTTGGATAGAGGACTGTATTGAGGAGCCTGGAGACTGGTGTTTCAGTCCTATTGCACGCATCTGAGGATAAACTGTCTCTCTGGTTCTTAGTTATTTCTACTCTAAAAAGGAGTGGTCATAATGTCTTAAGTTTAGGGTGAAAACATCATGCATAGGAGAAATGAAACAGAACATAAATGTAAGATTATTATCATTAACTGTTAATAATAATGTAATTTCAAGATGGCTTTATATCTTTGGATGTATTTTCCTTATACCAAGAACAGGAAAAAGGAGGGGAACACCTTTTGATATATTTCATACAGAATTACACTGAGAAAAACAGTTAACAATAATTTAGGTGTCTATTGGAAATATTAAAACGCCTGCAGTGCAGGAGACCTGGGCTCAATTCCTGGATTGGGAAGATCCCCTGGAGAAGGGAATGGCTACCCACTCCAGTATTCTGGCCTGGAGAAATCCATAGACTGTATAGTACCTGGGGTCACAAGCAGGTCTGACACGACTGAGCGATTTTCACTTTTTTTACTTCTCTGCTGTTGGTTTTCTTGACTAAAATACAGATATTTTTTCTGTGTTATTTGAGGTGATGACAGCTCATGAATTTTGGAGTTTGCCCAGAACTTCTGTAATTATGACACAAAACGTAACACATGCTAGGTAGGTCATTGTTGCTGGAGAGGGAAATGAGAAACAAATTTGGAGCAAGTTCAAGTAGAAATTTGAGGCATTTTTATAAAGCTTTCTGTTTTCTCTCCGCCCCCTCAAAGACCTAGGGAAAAACAGGTGGTGGGTTTCTCCTCCCACGCTGTTTTAACTTATCCTCTTTGGTGGTTTTCTTCATTTTTAATAATCTTCATCTCATGTTCCTTTTGTGTAGATAGATTCTGTGAATCAATACAAGGGGGCATTTCTCACTTTTAGAGGACTCCAAAATTGAGACATGCCTTGACCAAAATTCCTTGAAAGAAGTGTCTGGTGCTGCACTAGGTGAAGGTCAAGCAGGCTTGCTCTAAGAGGCATTGAGGGACGAGATTTCCAAGGGCCTTTCTGATTGTCCTGGGGTTTGGTGACTTGCTCAGCTGTGAAATGGAGATAAAAGGACATACCTTGTATGGCTTTGAGAGCTAGCAGTAATATATGTAATCATCTGGTATGGCTGTTAATCACATGGTCACCCCACTATACTATGCATATGAAGATCTTGCTTTCTAACATGCATGTGTGTGTATGCTTGTGTGTGAGAGAGAGAAGGAAAAAGGGAAGGGGAAGAGGCAGAGAGAGCGAGCTTTCCCGAACTAAATGTAGAGTTTTTAAGGACAAAGATTATAGCTTATTATTTCTTGTTTTTCCTGCTGTGTGCCAGAATATCTCCTCTTGTATATATTTGGAACGTACTTTTCAAGTAGGTGAATGCATGGATGGATACATGAATTCATACCAGA